TCTGTTTTAATGGTTAAATTAAATTGTATTAATCAAAAAGCCTGTCTAATTAATTGAGTTTTACAGTTTTATCTTTACCAAATTATGTTTTTCATTATTTTCTGGATTCCATTTTAATGGTTCCATAAAATTGTAATAATCAAAAGCATATCCAATTAATTGATTTTATTTAAAAAAAAAAAAAGTTTTTTTTTTTTTAGAAATACTGCACATTTACATTTTTCTCCTAAATAAATTCTGGTAAATACTCCTTTAAAAAGGGTTTTTTGATTATAATTTTATTATTAGTAGACTAGAACACATTGATATGTTGTCATTCTTACACTATAATACTGAACTTTGATCGAAATAAAAATAGTCATTAGTGGCAGCCCTAGAAATTTTTATAAAATTGTAAATACATTTATTTTTTTTTATTATTATTTAAAGGAGTTTTAAAAGTGTTAATTGAAATTTTGTGTACATATTATTATTTGCTTTAATTAAACTGTATTATACATGTACTGTATTTTGGCCACTCTGAACTCTGGATATAAATTGGCATCAGCAATTCTCCAAAAAAAAAAAAAAAAAAACAGGAAATTGACTATTATAAACTAGTCTCTTGCATTTAACATGAAACCTATGAATGACCAGTGAAGACTTGATCTAAGAGACCATTTTTGTTAGATGGTTTGTACCTCAGTAATGGGTGATTTTGGGTTGACGTTTCTGGCTGCAGCGATCTCCTGCAGTTGGCTAACAAGCTCGCTGATAGACAGTCGCTCATCTGGGTTGATTTTCAACATTGATCCTGGAACAAACACACAAGGCTTTTGCCACACAACAAATGCACAACAAACAAAATGACGATATGATGCAGGAGAGATTTTGGGAAGAGGGAATGAAGTTAAGTTCCTGCAGGATACTTACGGATGAGTTGGTGAAAGACTGTGTACTTGGTGTCATTCTGAGGAATGTTGTATTTGCCGTTTACTATCTGGAGTTTGGCTCCCTCTTCAAATGGGTGCTGCTTAAAACAGAGCAGGTACAGGATGCAGCCCAGAGCCTAGGGAACAAACCAAGACTCTTTCAAAACACAACAAGGACAAAGGGAAAAACCTGTTACACTGTATCCTAACCAGGTGCTTTATGTAATGCCAAAAAGCCTCCTTCACCTGGTTTGGACCAAAAAAAAAAAACTTTTGCCTTTGTAAGCTTTCATTAAAATTTTGCATCAACTTGCTTTGTCTCTAAACCAAATGTCCTTATCAGCCTTCTTATTTTTCCAACCCTTCCAAATATCAAGCAGGATTTTCCGTCCAACTTAGCACAGAAAATGTGGAAAAAGTCTGCAGGTTATACCTGGATCTGCTCATAACTATACTAACTCACCCATATGTCTTGTTTCTCGTTTATTGGGTAGTTGGAATAGAGGTCAATCATCTCTGGTGTCCTGTATGCTGGAGTCGTGTTTCTAGTGATCTGAGGGATAAAGAGAGAATAAGAGAAAGATAAATTATTTATAATTTAGTGGGTCTTTATGTTAAAAGATTGCATGCATGGATTATAATAATTGATGATTAAAGCATGTAAACACTTGCTCAACAGTTTACACTACTGTTTAAAAGTTTGGAGTTTGGTCAGAAATGTTTTTTAAAGAAGTCTCTTCTGCTCAACAAGGCGGTTTATTTGATCAAAAATACATTAAAACCAGTAATATTGTGAAATATAGTTCACTATATTCCGTGTTAAATCACACTATATTTCAAGTCTAAGTGTGGGGTCTGTAATATTTTTGAAAAAAGTATCTTATGCTCATCAAGGCCGCATTTATTTGATAAAAAAAAAAACAGTACAGTACAGTACTAATTTGAAATACTATTAAAATTTCAAATAAATGTTTTATATTTGAAAATATTTTAAAATGTAACTTATTCCTGTGATGCAAAGCTGAATTTTACTCCAGTCTTCAGTGTCACATGATCTTTCAGAAATCATTCTAATATGCTGATTTGCTGCTCAAGAAACATTTCTTATTATTATCCATTTAAAACAGTGCTTCTTAATATTTTTGTGGAAATTATGATTGAAAAAAAATCACACTATCCCAGTTTTTTAACAGTAGTGTAATTTTATCAATGTTTTCAAACTGTTAATATTTTAGAAGAATAAAAGAATAAAAACCTTATTACAAGCTTTGCTGGAAGGTTGTAAAACGCTAAAAAAACTGGTCCTCATTAGAATTAGCTGCTAACAAAAATGCATTAAATAAACACAAACAGACATTCATGTGCAGAGAAATGGCGGGCTTTGTGCATTGCGTGGGTTTCAATTTACTACCAATAACTGACTTAAGAGGACCAGAAACCAGACAAACTAATTTAATCAACAAAACAATTAAATCAGTGAATGCTTCCATGGGAAATAGCCAGAGATTTTAATACAATCACCGCAAAATATTTCTTTCTGGCCACGTATCAATGTAATCATTTCCACAATTAATGTGACAATCCATCAATCACAATCAAAACTATGGCAAAACGAACCAATCAGAGGACTGTGATGTCACGGTGATGTTAACCTGGTATTAATATTTATGTAGCATAAAGCTGGATGGGCTGCTTGGAGAAAAGAATTTGTTGCGTTTTTACCTCGTCTTCCACCATAGATCTCTTGTGAGCAGACCAGCTGTAGTCTGGGTAATGTGCCAAGATGGTGGCGCTGCCAAAGTCACACAGCTTTATAGTGCCCTGATGACTGATCAACAAATTCTCAATCTACAGAAAAGAAGAAATGTTACTGAACAATGTATATGATCATTCGGCACAGATCAAGTGAGAAAATACACATTGCTATATTTATTAAAGCAATAAGTCATCTAAGGCCATGTGTTACTGTACTTTTACCACAATATATACACACCGTGATGGTAGTATTCAATGTACTGCATTATGCTGCTTTAGATTAAAACATTTGATTTAAATATAAATTAAATAAAAAAATGTATGATAAATAAACAAACATTATAGTAATAAAAATGAGAATCGCCACTGAGAATAATAAATTACAAAGAAACAAATTAAAATAAAATATAAAACATATTATATAAAAATTTATTATTATTATGATTATTAAATATTAAAATAAAATAAAGGCCAAGAAAATGTGCTTAACTGAAATTACCTGTCATGAAAATAATGTTGCAATTTTTTTCTGAATTATTTTTTCTTTTGATATTAGGGATTATGTTTTCAAGAGACTCATACTACTGCATTAATAGGCCATATTAAATATAAGCTAATAAATAAAGTCTTCTTTGTTCATATCTTACTTTGATGTTCTGTAAATAAACAGGGGTTTAGTCTGTGGGGCCTCACCTTCAGGTCGCGGTGTATGACTGGTGGAGACTGTTTGTGCATGTGCTGCACAGCACGACATGACTGGTAAAAGATCTTCAGCACTGTGTCACATGACATGGGTCCTCTCTGCTCCACCTTCTTCACAAAATCAACCAGCTGGCCTGCAGGAAACAGAGGGCGGAGGTCAATGTGAACACAGGAAAGCGACGCCAGTGCCAGAAAGTCAGAAGGAGAGAGTGGAATGTGTTAAGTCAGTCAAGAGCTTCCCTCTTTTTGCAATTTTTTATATTTATCAGTAATGCATTAAATTTCAGCAGCCCGAAAGGATCTGTTTTGACCGAAACGGTGATGTTTAATTAGCTCTTCTCCAATGGCACATTTTGTGTTTGCAAAATACTGTATATGCACTATATTACATATTCATTTTATTTTCACTTAACCTGCTGTCTTCATTCATTCATTTTATGTATTTTTTTTATTAATTTGTCATAAAAAAAACATCCACCATGTCAACAACAAATTGGGAATAGAGATAATTATATACTTAAAAAAGTTGAATTAAAAACTGCCTAATGTGCGATTTAAATTTTTATAAAACAACAAATAATTTTTAGATGCATAAATTACATTCTGTCATCTAATAACAATACTTGTAAAAAGTGTGACCTGAATTTGAATGAATCACAATTAAATTTGCCTTTAAGAAGGGTTTTCTCCATCAGTTTCTGCTACTGTGTGAATGGGATGTAGTGTACGTACCTCTACACAGCTCTGTGAGGATGAGGAACTCAGCCTGGCCCGTGTCCGACTCTTCTTTACTGATGGATGCAGCGGAGCAGAACTGAACAATATTGGGGTGACCAGACAGCTTTTTCTAAACAGACCACATGGAGAAGCAGATCAAGCATCCTATAGCTTTTTAGCAAGGTTTTGTTTTACCGGGTAATGCTCCGATTTTTTTTTTTTTTTTTCTACAAACTTGGGACAGAGAAATGCTGCTCTACAGATGTGAGAGATGCCAGCAACAGCTTTGCCTAACCAGGCATGAAAAAAGTGCCTAGTTATAGTGTTGTGTGATAATGTAGTAAACTTGTTAACATGTTTAATTATTACCATGAAGCAGACTTCCTGAATGATGGCTTTATTCTTCTCCTCTTCATTGGAGAGAAGTCTCTGCACACAAACATACAAATCAATAAAAATCTAAACGTTTTTCAGATCTTTCTTGAATCGGTTGTTGTGACTATTTAGCAACACACAAGGAAAAATTACCACAGAAAGTGAGAAAAATGCCCCAAATACCTAAAATACGGGGACAAATAAATGCCTCTAAAATGAATCTCCTCATTTCCATTTCCAAGTTATGTAATCTTTGATGTCATATTTTATTCTAGGCCTATCTAGTGCTGTTGTACAGCTTTGAACAACTTCAGAAAAATGGACGATGCGTTACAAGTTTTTATATGTCAGTGCTATTTTAGTATTATTTCTATACTGTACTATTGCAGCATTTATTAATGTTTTGAAATAGTTTTTATTTTTATATTTTATACTAAACTATATTTTTGTTTAAGTTTATTATTTTTAATCATTTTACATTTTTCTGTTTTAGCTTTATTTTTGTTTCAATTATAGTAATTTTAGTCCATAAACTTTTTTATTTCTGTTAGTTAGTTAGCAACATTACTAATTTCTGTTTAGATTTTTGATGTTTAAGTCAAATATTTATATTATTATTCTTCAGCTTTATTTCAATCATCGAAGACCATTTTTAGTTTTTGCTCACAATAAAAACACTATTATATTGTTGTATACGGCAAAAAATGTCCTCAAAGATTCAAAAAAAAATAATCTTCAGGGGGGGTAAATATTGCTTTGTAATAACATTAATTCATTCACTTCTGTGTAGTGCATAATTAACTCATTAGTACATATAATGGCAGTCAATACTGACTCCACTGTAATAATCTGAATGTTAACACAGTTTATATGTGATGACGTCATCATACCTTGAGCGCATAGTCCTTACTGCTGCCCAAATCCTGGGCTTCATACACAAACGCAAAGCCACCTATAAGAGAGGAAACATATTTCATCATTAGGTTTATTTTAGGTTGACTGTGATGGCACCAATCTGAATGAGGATTTTGGCAGATTCAGTTTTGCTGACTTGGGATTGTGGCTCCAACAGGACGTGAAACAGACGCATTTCCAAAAAGATACGTAGAAGTGTCAGCTACAAAAAGGTAGATTGGTCTAATTTGAATCTCAGAAGTACGATCAATTACCCCTTGTCTACTGCTAGTTGTTGGTGAAACCAGTTCTTAATAGGGTGTAAATCGGATGGTTCGTCACGATACGATACGATATCGATTCTCATACCTAGCGATACGATATTTGCCGATACCTCAAAAAATTATACGATACGATTCGATTCAGGAGTATATCAATCGATATATCGATATTATTATATTATATATCTATTTTAAACAACCATCTACATTTCTATTAACTCACAAATGCAACCAAAATATATAACATGAACATTTATCTGAAATTTTCACATCCTGTACCTCAATTGGGACATTCACAACAAAAAAAATAGGCCTACACATTTTTTTTTTTTTTTAAATAATAAAGAAAATAAACAATTGGAAAAACAATTCTGGCTGCTATATTTTTGATGTTAAAAAGGTTATTTAGTCAGGAGCAGTGAGCACTTGTATTTTTCTTTGACAGCATAAGATTTATTAATAGTTTGCTTTCATTGAACGAAGCACGGATTTAATATACTGATACACATGGCTTTTCTTTCTCAACTGTTTACGTTAAGACATATGCCTAACCGACTGTGTTTACTAGGATATTCGCCAAAACGCGCATTTTGATGTAATTTTGTCTGTATTTATTCATCCATGCACATAAAAGTGGAAGAGAGCTCAATTTCGCGCGGTGTAGACGCGGTTGTCTGTGTGCGTGCACAGAAAACTTCTCACACAGCGCTCGACTGTTCCGCCAACGATCCCGAGCGTCTTTTATGCTCACCTTGTGCCTTCGGGCAGTTCTTATATCGAGTCCTGATACCTGAGTTTGAACGAGAATGCACGCGTTGGCGGTAATGCATAGACGGACATTATGTGAAAATGTGGACAGTGCCAAAATAAAGGTGCCTATTTATACTACAGATATCGATATTTTACACGTGGCATCGATGCATCGTATCGTCAGACATCGTATCGATGTATCCATCCATATCGATGAATCGTTACACCCCTAGTTCTTAAGACCCAGACTTAAAATAGTGGCTATGTTTAAGCAACTGGCCCCAGTCTATTTTATAAAAAAATTCTGAGTGGCACATGAGAGTCAGTAATAGACAACCTTTCCAGCATTATACAATTCTCGTTAAATGCAACATGCATGAGTCAGTCTTCTAGACAGCATGAATAACACACACACACAGAAAGAAACTTCTGCCCTCAGCAGTCATTATTGAACAAACAGAGAGAATGAACTCATTACGTCTGCAGCAATGACACTACACAACATTAATGAATCACTGATCTCAGCAAAAAACCTTTTTACACAACATTTCATCATCAAGAGTCAGTGCTGCGGAGAAAACAATATAAATGGATTTAAAAACACAGACCTAATTGACATTACGTGGCTGAAAAAAAAGAGAGAACTAAATAGAACAGGGGCCAGTTGCATAAACTTCTCAAGTTAAAAGTAAAAGTCTCTAGTACTGTGTCTTAAGAACTAGTTTGACCAACTAGCAATTAGCAGAGAGGTAATCAGTCTTACTTTTTTCAGATTCAAATTAAATTAATCTACGTTTATGCAACCGACTTAAAGTTATGACCAGTCTCCAAGAAGAAAAATAGATGAGTAACTTCTTGTACGACAAGCATTTTATGCAACCAGCTACAGGTGTTGAAATCTTAATCTTAAAACTACAACTATTAATAAAAATAGTAGTAAAATAGATAATAATTAAAAAGAAGAAATATTGTTGACAAGCAAATTATGATAAAGTGGAATATTGCAATATCTATCTATCTATCTATCTATCTATCAGTAGACCGAATGCTGAGTCAATGACTGAAAAGTCTGAATATGTAAAAATAGAAAACAGTGAATATTGGTCAAAATTGATTATGAGATTATCATCTCCACCTAAATAGCTATATGACAATCAGTTAACATTAACTATTAACCAACAGTCTATGCCAGGGTTTCCCAAACTGGGGTTTGTAAGTTGATGAAAAGCAAGTAATTATAATTCAAATAAATTAAAAATATTTTATTTGTTTCCCTGCATAGCATGTGACCATTAACTGTCATTAACGAATCGTGAATATGTGAATGTCTCATTAAATTATTGAAATATTAAATTAAAAACTCAAGAGGGTACTTCAAGTAAATATTTTAGGTCACAGGTGTTCACCTTTAAAATGACTTTTTACAAGTTACATTTTATATCTATATATACATATCTATATAGATGAACACAAATTTTTTCTTTGGAATAACACACAATGATATGCAAAACATGCTTCATGAACAATAAGGAACATGTATAAAGGAAGTAAATAGGTATGTTTATTTATGCATGAAGATATAAAACTAAGAATGACTATTTCACTTCATACAAGCATTTTATGACTGATTCTTAAAGCAAACAATGAAATACTGTAAGTATGGCTCCTTGAACAGATGTTGACTGTGTCAGTCAGGTGTGTATGTCTTTACATGAACAAAAGTGACAATGCCAGGTATTTATGGACACTTGTGAAACAATCCTCAAGTGACCAAAACTGCCTGTGTCCATGGTAACAGGTAAATGAATACCAGCGGAGGCCCGAGTCAGGCTGCACGAATCAAAAGAAGCTTTCGAGCTTCACGTTACAGTGCACTGACATTCACACGCACTGCGAATTTGCAAAGAACAGTCCAAAAAGTAACAGGAGGAGCAAGAGACTTCAGGTAAATAAAACATATAGCCTACTGCTCCATAAACTGCTGTACTGTTCTTTTCAAATGAAAGCCTTTTCTGGACATAATTTCTAATAATATTGGTCAACATTACAGCCCAAAAATGCCATTGTGATGCAAAGAATTATGTAAACAATACTATGTCAGATACTTTGTCATTTAAATGACGCCTTCATCCAAAGAACCTCATCATACAGACAGAAACCTGAAGGTGATTGTTCGTCAGTTGCAGAGTTCAACTTTCTGGTTAACAGCCTAGATCTCTTAACCACTACACCTCACCATCACCATGCAAATCATTCCTGTTTACTCAGAATGCCCTGTGTTTCCATTCAAGGCCTGTAAATGTCGACACACCTGAGCCAGTGGGTCAAAGTGAAAGTCAATGATGGGCTGAACAGTTATGGACATGTTACTGTCAAAATCCAACAGATTTCAATAGCTCTGACCAAAACACCCCACTTTGACAAATACGAATGTACATCAAATAATTAGTAAAGCTATTTGCACTTCTTTTTTTTAGAAATTAATACTTTTATTTAGAAAGGATGCATTAAATTGATGAACAGTGACAGTAAAGACATTTACAATGTTACAAAAGGTTTATATTTCAAACAAACGCTGTCCTTTGAACTTTTTATTCATCAAAGAATTCTGGATTCCACAAAAATATTAAACAACATAGCTGTTATCAACATTGATAATGATAAGAAATGTTTCTTGAGCAGCAAATCAGCCTATCAGAATGATTTCTGAAGGATCATGTGACACTGATGACTGGAGTAATGATGCAGTTTCAGTACTATTGTAAATTGCTACAATACTAATGTGATTATAATAATATGACAATTTACAGTACTAATTAGCGTTAATATGTATGGAAGCCCATTTCTAATATGGAATTTAAAAAAAAAAAAGGTTATGGCAATTTTTTAATCTCACAATTCTGACTTTTTTCCTCATAATTCTGAGTATCACACAATTTTTTATTTTGTGGTGGAAAGAATTGCAAGATGTAAACTCAGAATTCAGAGAAAAAAAGGTCAGAACTGCGAGTTAGAAACCCAGAATTCTGGCTTTTTTGACACAACGTCAGAATTTTGAAATAAAATTCACAATTACTTTTATATTTTTATTCCATGGCAGAAACAGGCTTCCATAAATATGTGATACCATGGTACTACCACAGTACATTTTATAAGGAATTAAACCACTAACAAAACATACCAGTGGTACTGGTACCGGTACCATCATGTTTTTTTGTTTGTTTGTTTTTTTACACATACCATGTAAATACCATGGTGTATGAATACATTCTGTACACAGGTGCATTTAAATAAATTAAGATCAGTTCTAACATACAGATGAACTTATGGAATATGACGTGACTACTCATATTCAGTCACGGAATATAACAATATACATATACATACATATACCTGAATGCCTCGATAACATACAGATGAACATTTAAAATATATTGAGTTCATGTCAGGTGTATCATAGCCAAGTGACTTGCTAACAACTTAGCCAGCTAGTTTAAGTCCATTGTCATTAAACTATAATCACAAATATTCACATATATACTAAACCTAATGTTTATATGTGTGAATGAGAATATATTACGGACATTTCACCGTCAAAGTCAGAGCTGTTTTAAATAAAATACATGTTAGTATCATAAGCAGGGGTTAGCATGACTAGCCTTATGCTATTTTGAATGAATCTTTTACCTTCCGCGATGATTCGTTTGATCCGGAGCTTCAGATCGCCGAGCTCCACCACCTGCCCGACGAAGTCGTTCTGATCCCGGCTGGCGGCGGCACCGGATCCGCCGGGCCCGGCCAGGAAATCGAGCGCTGACTGGAACAGGGACATTCTGTCCCTCTTTTTCTGTTGCGCCTATTAACCGGAACCGGCACCGGATGGGAGAACAAGTGCACTAACTCAACTGGTGGCGCAACTAGATAATAGAGCGTTAATTTGGATTTGAAAGGCTCTATTCTAGTGTGAAAACATCCCGAGTAACGTACTGGTTCCGATCGACCTGCTCTCTCTCTCTCTCAGCGGTATTTCCGCAAGGTGCTGACGTGGGGCGGTGACGTCACGCACGCACACACGCACACACACACACACACACGCACGAGTTGCTTTCAAACTCTGCTCTGGTTTGGCAGGTCTTTCTGTCCGTCAGATCTGGAACGTAGCAGGTGACTAAGGTGATTGGAAGTCACTGAATTGTAGGTTTTAAAGTGCACTGAATTCTACAGCATACATCAAAGCAGTGGCGTCTGGGTGCATAGGCGGTCGCCGTGATTTTGCCAAGTAAGACATGTTCCTGGATCAACATCTTTTGTTGATCCTGGATCAACATTACTGTCCAAAAATACAGATTTAACCCAATCCCTACCCCTAAACCTAACCCATAATTTATTCCTAAAATCAGAGGGAAATGATAGCTGATTAACGGGTGTAGAAGCACCTAATCCTGATGGTAAGCCTAAAACTGACATTTCCTGAAAAGTTATCTCTCAATTCTGATTGGTTGATTGGAATGATGTTCCAGGATCAACAAGGATGTTGATCCAGGAACATGTACTCGGTGAAATCAGGCTCACCGTGCATAGGCTGAGGGTGAACCAACTTCAGGGTAAGGCTAAAAGCAGCCAAATGTATTAAACATCATAAACCCGTCTAAACAGACATGGGTGTCATGTAGGCTAAAAAAAAAAAAGTTTTATGGGACTGAATTTGTATTTAACGTGATTACAATTTAATAAAAACATTAGAAATGTATAATTATATAACGCTTCCTTTCCACTGTTATTCAAACAGCGAATAAATTATATATAGAAAGTGACATTATCACGAACATTGATCTATCGTGAGTTTAAGCACTCTCAAAAACAAAACTATGGTTATAAACACTGAAGCTGTATACACTGTTAAATGAATCTCTTCCTTACATTGTACGTCCATCTGCGCTTTGTTGTTTATGATGAGAGAATTCGCAAGAGTCGGGAATTCAGTCAGCGAACGCTCACGCACTCAACAAAACTGATCTGTTTCAACGATGACTCATCTGAACGCTTCTGATTGGCCATTGCATTCCTAAGATCAACAGATATGTGTGTGATTGGTTAAAATGCACAACACTGTAAAAACGCCTAAAATGAAATGCGGAGCAACATGAGCAGATCTTAATTTAATGCCGCAATCGACACTGTCTATTCATATTCACTTTGTTAGCAACAGACGTAATAGATTTAATTTGTTTGTGCAGGGGCATTTTTGTCCAATTTAGTGGCATTTTTGCCCCAAGTATCTTAATTAATTTAATCAATCGACACTGTCTATTCATATTCACTTTGTTATCAACAGACGTAATAGATTTAATTCGTTTGTGCAGGGGCATTTTTGCCCCAAGTCCCCGTGGCCAGGGAAAGGCTAAGCCTTCCCCAGCCTTACACACGCTCCGCCTATGTGTGCAGGGTATGCAGGTGCATATGGGCCCGGGCAGATTGGGGGCCCGCCGAGCCGAGGGGAACTTTTAATTGAAACGAGGAAATGAATTTCTCTGCAATTTCCCTTGTCCGACAGCTTATCAGAATTCTCAGCCCGAGTCTTTTTTCTCTCTCTCTCTCTTCCCCATTACACAGCTGCTGCTGCAGCCATTAAAATAGTTCAGTTTCGTTTTTTAATGGCAAAGTGGTAATATTTCTTTTCTTTTCGTTTCTTTATTAAGTTAATTTAGAAATATGTTTGGAACATTTTATGTTTGTTAAATTCAGGTTTTTGTTTTTTATAGGAACGACCAAGCGGCCAGCGGCAGACAGTGAGTTGAATATATGTTTGATCAATTTAGCCTTCTCAAATCAACAGGGTATGCAGGTGCATATGGGCCCCGGGCAGTTTGGGGGCAACGAGGGGACGAATAGAGACCTGCATGGGCCCGGCCCTTGTCCAACAGCTTTATGAGAATTCTGGCCCGAGTCCGACTGGATCCCGTGTCTTTTTTCTCTCTCTCTCTTCCCCATTACACAGCTGCTGCTGCAGCCATTAAAATAGTTCAGTTTCGTTTTTTAATGGCAAAGTGGTAATATTTCTTTTCTTTTCGTTTCTTTATTAAGTTAATTTAGAAATATGTTTGGAACATTTTATGTTTGTTAAATTCAGGTTTTTGTTTTTTATAGGAACGACCAAGCGGCCAGCGGCAGACAGTGAGTTGAATATATGTTTGATCAATTTAGCCTTCTCAAATCAACACAACGACTTGCCTAAAATAATATAACACTTTGTGCATTTCACAGTATTGATTTAAACATTGAACCTAGATAAATGTGCGCTGTTATGTGCATATCCAATCGTTTGTGCGGAGAGTGGAAGCTGAATCGCGCTTGGCAGGATATGGGAGTCGCGAGCGTATAACTTACATTTTTTTTTTAATAACAGTGGAATCTTAAAAAAAAAAATCTGTAATTGTTGCTCATAAAGGTAAGAGTAGGCTTATACCTCAGTCGGAACTGCAAAGTCTACTTTTATTTGTGTGCTCTCACAATTTCAACAAAACCTTGTGCTTTTGTAAAATAAGGAAAACAAACGCTTTCTGATGCGCTTTCTGTCGTCTCTGTCTTGAGCAGGAGCGCCTCACAATGATGAACTGAAACTCAGCTAATACTTGCCTTACCAACATGATAAATATACAGTATCTATATAATGCTTTAAATTACTATTTTAAAACGAAATAATTCAAATAAAAAAACCAAAAACTCTTTCATTATGTAATCCGTAAAGATGCATTTCTCTCTAAAGGCACGTCCAATGAGGAGATGGCGAGTCAGGTTAGTCAAATTCATATTTGTGACACTGACTCAGAAAACACTAGTTTATTAACAAAATTACTATTTTTTACTTTTTTGTTTGTTTTTTATTTATTTTGTTTGTTTTTTGGGTTTGCATTCAGTAGCTTCAAATAGCCTACGGCAGCATTTTAGTGCCACGTTGAAAAATAACTAGCCTAAATAAATACGATTAACGTCATAATATTTTAAGAATGAAGTCAAAATTACGATAATAAAATCATGTTATATTGCGTGAAGTTAATGTGAAAATTCCACCTATAGGCTACTCCGCCAAAAAAAAAAAAGAAAAAGAAAAAGTCTGTGGCATCCGTCATTCTTCACATTTAACATAAAAACAGCAATAAAATGTAGACTTATTGACATTTTTTAAAACTCTGATTGATCAATTTCATGAGACATTCGTTTGTATTAAATTGTCTTGATTTTTTTTTCATGCATTCAAATATTCATGTTTATTTCGTGCTGCAAATATTAAAGAGGAAAATATCATTGATTCATATGCTGCTTGAACTGAGGCAAATTATCTCACTACAGATTAAAGAGCGTAAAAACACATTTATTGTTTGTATTTTATCATAAAATTGACAGAAGGCTGAGGCTTTGTAGTTACAAAGCTGCGATTATTGGGTGGCTTGCGTGCTACAAATAATGAATGGACTTGAAAATTTTAAATATAATTTCCAAGCATTTAGCCTATACCGTAAAACAGCTTGTGAATAGTCACGATTCACATAACGTTATTTACTTCAGAAAATCAACAATAGGGCCCAAGGTAAGTTAACCGAGTTGAAGCCCATAACGTTTGAGGGGCCCGAACAAATGTTTTTGCATATGGGCCCTGGGCTGACTTGCTACGCCACTGCATCAAAGTCTATGAATAATTGACGGATAAATCTCAAAAGTATAGGCTATGTCTAAAATACTGTGGCAGTACCATAGTACAGTGATGGTGGCATCAGATGGTAATATGGAAATTCATGTACCATGGTTTTTACATGGTAATACCATAGTGCATGTAGGGTCCCATACCCAAAAACATTCCGTTGGGAATATACCCTTACAAAAAAGTAAGCTACTGTGGCAGATGGTAAAGTTATGGTATCATCACATGGTAATACTTGGTACTTTAAATATGCCGTGGTATTTACTGTACAGTGTCCAAAATACAATGGTAAAGTACCATGGTACTTTTGATGTGTTGTTAAAAATGAATATAATACAAGCGTAAATGATTGAAAACAATACAGACTATATATATGATATGTACAAGCAACATACACTGTATCAAACAATATATTTATACCATATACCACAGTTATTTACAGTCACCTGAAGTGTTTAATATTTGCATTTTAATTACCCCATAATTACAATAATGCAAAAATCATATAAGTTTTAAATTGTAAAATATTTGGTGTAGGCCCACTGCCTTAAATTTATGGTGATATTATATTACAGTAATTTTCTATTGTAATATTGTGAAAAAATTACTTTTAAAGTAAACAGTAAAATGAGGAAATATCACATATCATGCAAGATATTATGACAAATATTTATGGCCTTCAAATTAAAGATTTAATTCCCTCTCGAATGGGAACTCTAAGCTGCGTTCCCCAGAGGGCAATATGGGGAATGCTTCCGGCATGACTGGTGTCTGAAGCATGAGTCTAAACACGACAATGAACTTGACATTGGCAGGCGGCAACCTATGACATCACAACTGGTGAGTCCCAGAGTATGAAAGGGCACCTGTAAAATGCGTCACCCTCTTTCTTGTCTTCAGGAGACCGTTTGTTTCAGTGTGTGTCTAAACAGGCAAACTATGGCAAGCACTAGCTCCGCAAAATTTAGAAAGTGTGTTCATCCGTGTCAGTGTTTCTTCACACCTGATGACGCACATAATGTGCGTTATGTGCCTGGGTGAGGAGCATGCACGCTCAGTCCTTGAGGGGGCTGTTTGAATGCAATGCGAGCACTTTTCTTTGAGAAAGCTTCGCTCTCGTCTGTCCCTTTTCTTGAGGGAATCGGGACAGCCATCTGCACCTCGCACTTCAGGACCCACTGGAGCCGAGGCGAGTAGGAGACTGCAATCATAGGGTTCGCAGGTGGAGCTTGCTGATAAGTTTGAGAAAGGTATGAATAGAGCGAGCTGCCGGATGATGATGTGCTGTCTCTTACATCATCCGATCCGGCAGCGAGCGCACTCCTCGCCTT